CTTTTTGTTGTAGACTATACGAACCAGTGGCGTCATGCTACAAAAATGTGGACATAGCTGAAAATGGGTTGATTTTTTACGCGCTATTGAGAGAAAAACTGTTCTGTTTATTTATCTGAAACTAAAATTAATATCAGACAAATTCTTTTAGACTCCCAAATGTTGTTTACAGATTTCAAATACAAAACTTGGGTATTGGGGAAACATTTGCCAAAAACCTTGTTTAGTTTGTTTTGTTTTGTTTGTTTATTTGTTTGTTTGTTGTTGTATGTGTTTGTTTGTTTTTTGGGGGGAGGGGTGGATCACCCTGTACTTTATGTACTTTACACTAATTTAACTCACTTCATCCAGGTGGGAATGGGTACTCAGCCACAGACAATGAAAGATCCTGTCAGTATGTTATTGTTTTATTGTTTTGCACCTATAAAATGGCTGCTTGCACTGTATGCCCCCAGGATTAGGAGATTGATTCAGAATGCTATCGGGTCTGCTGGGGTATAAGTACAGATTGTAAAGTGCATGGAGCTTGCTGTTGAGCGGGAATTTGCGATATACAAATGCTATCTTTTAGTACTATCAGTATTATGAATATTATTATCAAAATCAAAGAGAGGTTTTAAGACAAATGAATTAGACTGAGGGGAAATAGAACATTTCCTAGACTGTGGCAACTTACCAATGCCAGTGATATTCCCATCTATAATTTAAGAATAGCCATTTTCAAAAGACGTAGACTGATTTCTTGCGATCTTCAAATTCAAGTCGTTTTTCAAGAACGTTTTGGTTTATCCACCTCTTTATCAAAATACTGACACAGAAACACATGTTATGTTTAAACTATGTACAAGCAATCTCGTAAGGTGTCTTAGTTAGGTAGGTAATGTACACCTGCAAATGTTATTTGTTTAAAGCCTTTGGGCCAGTTTATAAAAAAAAGTCCAATCAGTCCAAAATGCCAGCCTCACTGACATCTTGAAACAAAAATAGGAATAGTGTTGAGTCTATTGAATTTAGAAAGTGGGGGCGAGGAAGGGGAGAGAATGGGAAAATGGGAGGGAGAAGGAGGGAGATTTGAATTTGAATTTGTTATCTGTGCGCAATTTAACCTTCAAAAATTAAATTGATCTCCAGTACCAACTGTGCAATATGAATACAATGTGCTCCAGGTAGGATCATTATAACACGTAAGCCAAGCTGGTGCGTTCTGAGACACCGAGACGAAAATTTCATTGGTACATCCTTTGTAGTGATTCCTAAAGTTGCAGGCATCCTCAGGGGATTCTGCAAGACAAAATTACTTGAACGACTAAAGTGTCAATTAAGATGACCAGTTCATTCCAGGTTAGTTTTGATTGTAAGCATCAAACAGACATTTTATTTAACCTTCAGAAATGACTTTTGACAAACAACATGTTTACTCATCTACAAAAAAACGTAATACTCTTTGTGCATAGGCCATGAATTAAGCTTGCACTGTAGCCCACACTTTTCTCACTAAAATATCCCGCTGTATTGTTTACAGACCCTCTCTAATAGTAGTTTCGAAAAAAAGTAACCAGTTAATGCTTCTGAAAATAAATGTAATAAATTTAGGAGTATTTACATAGACACAATTTTGATCATTTAAGATGCGAGCTTCGACCCTGCCTGTCATGGTCAACCCGGGCTGAGAGATTTACAACTTCTTAACTGAAAGACCACCAACATATTCGATCAAAAGTCGCAGGGTTATCTGCATGCGACGACGAAGAGCCTTATTGCTACGTAACAGTAAGTAGAGTAAACCTATGTCATCCTCGTTCAGCGTCATACCAAAGGAGCTTAAGGCACAGTCATAATACAAGTTACACTAGAAGATGAATTCAGTCCTAAAATAATTATATTTCTATTTGCTCATAAGCGCTTAGTCACCACCCTGTGATAGACGCCAGTGATACGTCTGATCGTTTGTCTGCATTACTAGTAAGCCCATGTCATCACACACAGCAGAAATCGAGCAATAAGGGTATACACGATGTTTGAGTGCAATTCTACAAACGGTTTCGTTTTCAGACATTTTCTGTATTCCCAGCATTTCATGTCCTTTGGATGATATAAGTTCCACCTCGCTTGAAGCAAATATTATGTTTGTGTCAGCTGAATTTATTTAGCGATCTCAATGGTTCAAAATCTGACCTTTCTGATTTTGAAAAAATATACTAAGCTGTTTGTTGTAAGCTCGTTTGTTGAGGTAAAATGAATGCCGTAATAGAGGTCCAAGTTTCATATTTTCTATTTTAAAAAACTTTTCTAAACACCATAATTTTTGTCTTCCTTAGATTGACTTAAGACCTGGCCTCTCAAGCAGTAACTCAGTTAAGTGGTTTAGTTTTCTTGGTAAACCTGCCACCGCTGTGTTTGAAATTAAAATGATATTACCAGCTAAGAGTAAATTATGAATAGGCCGGGTGATAGCCTCAAGCGGGTAACCATGCTGTCCTTGAAAGTTGAGGACCATCCCCGCCGTAGTCCAACATCATACCAGATGCACGTCGAGACCTAGTGGTTAGGCTCTCGGACTCGCAACCGTAAGGTCGTGGGTTCGAATCCAGTCAGGGGCCCGACGTTGTGTCCTTGGGAAAGACGCTTTATACGAATTTCCCTCACTTCACCCAGGTGGGAATGGGTACCCGGCTATAGGCAGCAAAAGATCTTGTCAATTTGTTAGTGTTTGAGCGCTTAATCAGCTGCTTGCACTGAATGCTTCCCCGGAAGCTGAGAATGTTTCTGAGTGTTCTATGATCTGCTGGGGTAATAATATAGTTTAAAGCGCATAGAGCCTGCTGTTGAGCGGGGGTATGCGCTATACAAATTCTATTTATTATTATCATTATTTTTATCATTACTATT